TTCTATCACTTTTGGTTCCGATAATTCTGTCGACCATATATCTGATATTCAGGTGGCAAATGTCGTATTGGAGCATGTTGGAGATAAAAAACAAAATGTGCCCAAAACGTGATATTATGACGTTATACGCCGTTCTGAGCCATGTTTGAACTTTCTATCACTTTTGGTTCCGATAATTCTGTCGACCATATATGTGATATTCAGGTGGCAAATGTCATATTGGAGCATGTTGGAGATAAAAAACAAAATGTGCCCAAAACGTGGTATTATGACGTTATACGCCGTTTTGAGCCAAGTTTGAACTTTCTATCACTTTTGGTTCCGATAATTCTGTCGACCATATATGTGATATTCAGATGATAAATGTTATATTGGAGCACGTTGGAGATAAAAAACGAAATGTGCCCAAAACGTGATTTGGTGACGTTATACGCCGTTCTGAGCCATGTTTGAACTTTCTATCACTTTTGGTTCCGATAATTCTGTCGACCATATATGTGATATTTAGGTGCCAAATGTCATATTGAAGCATAAATTAATGAATTTCTCCATTGTCTTCAGGTGAATTATAGTAATCGGTGAAAATAATACAGAATGTATTTCTGAAGATTCAATTTTATTTAAAAAATTTTTGTTCTCAACGACCGGTTTCGATTATTCTATAATCGTCTTCAGGTTGTTCGCTACGAATTAAAACATGTATTGAAAATTTCACAAAAACATAATTAATTAATTAACAAGTATTTACCGTCAAAAGGGAATTCAATTCTTGAAGAAAACTTGGAGGCATGTCAATTCTATTTATTACACAGATATTGAAGCATGTTGGAGATAAAAAACAAAATGTGCCCAAAACGTGATATTATGACATTATACGCCGTTCTGAGCCATGTTTGAACTTTCTATCACTTTTGGTTCCGATAATTCTGTCGACCATATATGTGATATTCAGGCGACAAATGTCATATTGGAACATGTTGGAGATAAAATACAAAATGTGCACAAAACGTGATATTATGACGTTATACGTCGTTCTGAGCCATGTTTGAACTTTCTATCACTTTTGGTTCCGATAATTCTGTCTCATAATACACGACACTTTATTGTTATATTTTGTGGTTACAATAACATAATAACTAGAGCTTGGATTTTTATGCAGTCAAATTAGAGGAAATATGCGCATAAATGTGCAAGCTTTTTATTCAAAATATGCAAAAAATAAGCAAAAATATGTGGGAATATACAATCTGTAATGTATCCAAATTCATTATTGTTTAAGTAAATTACAAAACGTTTAACTATAAAATGTAGGCTCAACAACTTAATTAATAAGTATCAGGTCATCGTCCGTTGAACCGTATTACCGTGGTAAGCATTATTGCTGTAATACTTTAAAATTGATTACGCTTTTGTAAGCATCAGAATTGTACGAACCTTTGGGTAAAATACATTCACATGTAGTTGGGAAGAAACTCTTTTATTTAAAAAACCTAAAACCCTTCAACGATACCACAACAATATACCTTTCTTATAGTTGTTATCAATCTATTTTTGTCACATTTTTGTATATGTGTTGCAATTTTCACATGTTGTTCTATTTCGGATTTCCTCTCACACGTTATCTTAAAAAAGAATAATTAAAAAAGTTAGCCATAGATACAGACTAAAAATTTAATTCTGAGATTATAAAACAAATTCGTATTTTTCATTATCGATCGTCTAGAAACATATGTAAAAACATATTCCAAGAAGATGGGACATCAAATTTAATATAGTTTTATTTAGCTTTAATTTAACTCCTAGTGTAAAAGTCTATGAGAAATACAATATCGGAACAAACCATTGGCAAATCCTCTGAAAACTCTAATTTTTAACTTAAATCTTTGGCTAAAACGCTACGACATAATTTTTAAAAAAATACTTACAACTTTGGCACAAGTTTTACAATATAATTCCTCATTATTTAAATTTCGTTCGGGATAACTTTTTATCCACTGGGACACAATACACGATATCACTTTAGGCATTGTTGTTATAGATTGGTAGATTAATGTTCACTCACACTGAACACAGCCACAGCTTAAACTTAAACTCAACAGCGCTAGCGATTCCCCGCATGTTTCTGTGAATCGTTGTAAACAAGAAACCAACAATTTGAAAAAGAAACCACAATTTTGAAAAAAATATTCCAGAAAATAAAGAAGATGCATTTTGCATAAAATCCGAGCCCTAATAATGGACAACTAATAAATCAATTATGAGTCAGAGTCTGAATGCATTTCGCAAGTCGAGCAAGTTATCATAGTTTTTGAGTGTTTTTTACATATGAATTGCTTACATTTACAACATTTTTGTGTAGTATTTGTATTTGTACACAATTTACACCTCCCTCGTTTTCTAGATTGAGTTGGTTGTGTTTCCGACATCCCGCACTCATCGCCCATGTAGGATATTTGCAGAAACGATTGAATATCCTTTGGCAGCGAAATTATTTGAGCTTTCATAATTAGTTGCTCTTTCATTAAAGCAATTGCTAAATTACTTAAGAAAATTCTTCGACGACACTGATTTCCCGTAGAATGTTTTGTGAAATACAATATTTGCGAGTTTATTCCCGCTATATTTAGCAGCGTAAAAAACAGGACTAATGGCCATCGTCTAGTGACCCTCGAAATAGAGTAGGCACACCGAGAAAAATATTTTATGTAAATCATTTAAAATATCTAAACTTCGTGGTCAAAAATTAGCTTTCTAATTAGTGTAGATATATTAACCATTTGAAATTAGACAATATGGAATAAGTGAAACAGCAAATGTTTTAAATAATTTTATTAATGTTTGTAGTAGCATTATCAAAAGTCTCAAATTACTTTAACTACTTTAATTTAATTGTTTTACTACTTAATTGTAAAATTTACTAGTGTAAGTGGATGTTTGCTCTATGGAAAATAGGTATTTTAACAAATAGTATTTATTATTTTGACTAAATAAATTAAGTTTTAATTAAGTTAATTTTCTACTAATAAAGAGGTGCTGGTAAAAGCGAAAAAATAAAACCAGAAGGAAATTTGAATTAAAATAAAAAATTAAATTGTATTTAAAAATAAATATTAAAAAAAAGATAAAATAATATTAAATGTATAAATCAAAGTTAAGAGAGAAAGGTGACAAGCGAAAATAAGAATATTAATAATTGGTTAACGTATCAAGCACGTAGCGAATAAAATCTGGCACCTGCGACTACACACAATTGCGGACAGCGAGCGAGAGTGATCTCGATCAACGATAGATCGAGACCTGCGATCGCGACAGCGGCCTCTTCCGCGTGAAGAGGGTTTTACAATTTACGCGGTCATTAGAAAAATATAATTGTCGCAGAGCGAACAAACTCCCGCCGAAAACCAATTGTTTTGAGTTAATTAAACAACAAAAAATAACGATTATTAAATTTTAACAAGAAGAAAATAAAAATTGAATGTGAATAATTATGTAAATGCATTATTAAGTCGGCGAAATCAATAATAAATGAAAGTAAGTAAACAAAACTAACAAATGATTAAAAAATTAACAATAAGAAGATAATACAAATATAAATGTTCCAGTACAACAAATAGTACAACAAAATTATTCATTTTTCACGTAATGAATTATTCATCACGCGGTAGAGGGCACAATTTTGAAACAGGTCGTTGAAGGACGCCGTGTGACGTTCGAATGTTTACAACGCGAACGATCCCGTCAGTTCCTGGATAACATGTCTCCACACGCCCCATTTTCCACTCTAACGGCGGCCGCTGATCGTCACGAATTAATACTAACGTTCCTGGTAAGATATTAGGAACAGTAGTTGTCCATTTGGCCCTTTGTTGTAGTGTATGTAGTTACTCTTGACTCCACCTTTTCCAGAAATGTTGTAGCATCTTCTGCAACAACTCCCAGCGGGACAAGCGATTGAGAGGGGTATTCTGAAAATCTACAGAAGGAATTTCAGTGTTTAGTGGCGCTAGAGCAAGGAAGTGACCAGGAGTGAGAGCTTGGAAATCATTAGGATCGGAGCTGAGGGGACATAGAGGACGTGAATTTAGGACAGATTCTATTTGGGTAAGTACTGTAGAAAATTCTTCAAAGGTCAGTACTTGATCACCCACAACCCTCCGTAAATGGTTCTTGACCGACTTTATCCCGGCTTCACTGAGTCCATTAAAATTAGGTGACGCTGGGGGATTGAACAACCATTCGATACCGAGTTTACCCCCTGCCTCCTGTGTAATCTGTTTCATATCATTATAGGCGCCGATAAAATTGGTTCCCCTGTCGGAAAAGATTCTAGTACAACATCCACGACGGGCCACGAATCTCCTTAATGCAGCCAAAAACGCCTCGGAGGACAAATCGGAGACCAATTCCAAATGTATGGCTTTGGTGGCAGCGCACACAAGGAGACAAATATAGGACTTAAATGTCTTGGCTCCTCGATATTTACGAGCTATGGTTGTAAATTGGCCAGCGTAATCAACTCCTACCGTAGAAAATGCTTTTATTTGATTCACCCGAAATGCAGGTAAGTCAGACATGATTGGTGTATAAGATTTTGGCCGGCTTCGAAAACACCTTACACATCGTGACAGGACTTTATAAATGGTTTTTCTAGGTGCAAGAATCCAAAATTGATTTGCTATGATGGCAGATAAAGTACGAAAACCAGGGTGTAGATGTTCCAAATGTAGATCCTCAATAATCAGCTCACTCAGTCGATGTTTTCCTGGTAAAAGTATGGGATGTTTAGCGTCGAAGTTTAGATCTGAATACCTGAGACGTCCGCCCACTCGGATTAAGTTTTCTCGGCTTATAAATGGTGCAAGCTTCCGAAATTGTTTCGAAGGCAGTTTACCAAGTTGAATTTGCCGGAACAGCTCAGGGAATTGTTCGCTTTGGACTTGCCGGGCGTAGGTATAAAGAGCTTGCTGTTTTTCAAAGATGGAAATGATGAGATTGTTATGTTAATTTTTCTTACGACACCCTGAAACAAATCTCAAAATGTAAGCGACTATGTTTTTTACCTTACGTAATGAAGAGAAGCGATCCAGTAAGGTGAGCAAACAATCGTCAGTATCTGATGTTAAATGAGCAACCATTTGTTGTTTTTCTTCAGCTACAACTTCGTCGCTACATGTGATGATCCCTTGAGAAGGCCAGTGAGGAGATGCAAGAGACAACCAATAAGGTCCATTCCACCATAGATTACACTGTACCACATCAGCGGGGAGAAGCCCTCGCGACCCTGGATCAGCGGGATTCTCTTGGGATGGTACATGGCGCCAACAATCCTTAGGTATAACATCCTGAATATGGCTTGTTCGGTTCGCTACGAACGTTTTCCAGCGATGCGGGGATGAGTTAATCCAATGGAGCACCACCATAGAGTCGCACCAAGCGAAGATTCTTGGTTGAACCACCGTGGAGAAGCTTGATAACAAGAACTTGGCCAAGTCAGCCAATAGAACAGCGGCACAGAGCTCCAATCGGGGTATTGATGTGGTTTTCAGCGGAGCAACTCTAGACTTAGCAGAAACAAAATTTAGGGTAATAGTATTATCAGGCAATATACAACGTAGATACGCCACCGCACAGTAACCCAATGAAGAAGCATCAGAGAATAGATGAAGTTCCACATTTTGAGTTGCCGAATGATGAATATGTCGCGGAATCTTCAACTGGGACAGTAATGGAAGTTGATGCTTAAATTGAATCCAGTAACTCTGGATCTCGTCCGATGGAAGATCATCCCAGTCTAATCTCTCTACCCAAAGTTTCTGCATAAGACACTTTGCTGCCATGATACATGGAGCAATCAATCCCATGGGATCATAAATACGAGCTATGTTTGATAATATGGCTCGTTTGGTACATGGGTTGTCTCGGGGTGTATATGAAAACCCAAAGGCATCAGCTTGGGGATCCCAATGAAAACCCAACACCTTCACGAAGCCATCATCCTTGTTATCTAGGGACACTGCAACTCTATCTTGATGGTCGTTAACTGATGTCAATAATTCCGGTGAGTTACTCGCCCATTTTGCTAATTCAAATCCCCCCAATGACAACAGTTTCATCACCTGCCGTTGCAGATTTAACGCGTCTTGGATTGAAACACTGCCCGTTACTACATCGTCAACGTACATGTCGCGCAACAACACTTGGGACGCTTCAGGAAACTGGGCCGCATAAATTAGAGCCAACTCCCGTACCGTTCGCAGTGCCAGATATGGAGAAGATGATACTCCGTAAGTGACCGTGTTTAGTTCATATTCATTTAAGGCATCATCAGGAGAATTTCTCCAGATAATACGCTGGTATTTGCGTTGATGAGGATCTATCAGAATCTGGCGATACAATTGTTTTATGTCGCAGATGAAGACTATGGGAAAACAGCGAAAATTCAGAAGAATGGAAACCAAATCGTTTTGAAGCTTAGAACCAGTAAATACAAGATCATTGAGAGAGTATCCGTTGCTGGTTTTAGCAGATGCGTCAAATACTACTCTTATTTTAGAAGAATTAGCTCGAAGAACTGGATGATGTGGGATATAATAGGAAGATAGATGGTTATAACTGCGTGAAGGAACGAGAGACATATGTCCTTTTGCCAGGTAATCCTCCATAAATTCTTTGTATTTGTCATAGACGGTGGAATTTTTAATTAGTCTTTTTTCCAGAGATAAAAATCTTCGTAAGGCTTGTGAGTAAGACTGACCTAACTCAGGACTTGCAGTTTTAAAAATTAATTTAACCATAAATCGACCATTATCCATGCGTTGGTAATTATTTACGAATTCTTCTTCGCATCTGATGTCTTCTGGCGCCTCGGTAATATTATTTTTGACCTGATCTAGTTCCCAGAATTTTTGGAGATACTGATCTAAAGATGGCTCGACCAAAAGAGAAATATTGGCAGTTGTGTTATTATTCTCAGAAGTTTTACCCATCAACAGCCATCCAAAAATTGACCCTATTGCAGCTGGCTCGTCCACATCACCAATACGACGTTCTCCAGTGAAGATATGCGGAACCAATTCAGCTCCAAGAAGAAGATCAATACAATTGGGAGATGTTTGACTTGGTGAAATTTTTAAATCTCTAAGGTGATTGTATTTGGATATATCAATGGTAGTTTTTGGCTGGTAAGAACATATATTTTTGGATATGATAGCTGTAAAGTTTAGTACGGGATGATTACTCTCATGCGGCTTAATGTCACATTCAACTGAACCCTGGTTACAATTCGACTGCATGTTGTTCAACCCTTCTATCGCGACAGATCGGATGCTCTTGGTAAGTTGTAACGTTTTTTGTAATCTTTCAGTTATAAAATTGATCATGCTACACGAATCAATCAGAGCCCTCACACGATGATAACCTCCAAAACGATCCTGGATGTCCAATTCAGCAACAGGGAGAACCACAGTAAGCATAGTATTCATAATGGAACCAACAGTATTATCTACAGAGACACACTTGCTTTCAGATGAAGGTTCCAAAGCAACAGCAGGACGAGGTAAATGCAGCAATGAATGGTGGCGCTTTTTGCAGGTACGACAAGTGTTCGTAGAATTACATCTACTTGTTGAATGACGATTTCCCAAACAGTTTTTGCACAGATTGTTCTTATTAACAAACTCCAACCGTTGTGCGGGCGTTTTATCATAAAATTGTGAACAATTGTATAGGTTGTGAGCATCATTACACAATGAGCAATGAAAATTACTTAATTTCAATTTCAGTTCTGTGGCGAAGCTTGATGGATTGGTCTTGAATGGTCGGTTGGCATTAGATTTGATGTACTTGGAGCTTGTTGTAGTGAGTTTCACTGCATCCAAAGCTTTGGCTTGATTCTCAAGGAAGGTCATCAGCTGTACATACGTAGGTATTTCGAAAGTACAATGTTCGATTTCGAATTTAATTTTAATTGAATTGTCTAATTTTTGTAGGAGAATATTAAAGAGTAAGAAATCCCAGTAATCGACGGGAAATCCAAGAGATCTTAAACCTTCGAGATTTTCAGAGAATGTGTCTATTAACAGGCGATATGCTTTGGATGAACTCTCTTGTTTAATGGTAATTCTTTGAATTTCATTATAGTAAATTGTGGCTAAGTGTCTCTTATTTTGGTAACGATTCTTTAGTGTTTGGAAAGCTATTGGATAGTTGGCATCGGTCATTGGTAAACCCTTGACCAAGTTGAGCGGCTCTCCCGATAAGGACGTCAGGAGATACTGATATTTCGCTACGTCGGACAACGAAGCGTTGCTATCTACCATTGTGGTAAAGAGGTCATAAAAACTTGGCCAGGCTTTATAATCTCCCGAAAAGGTAGGAAGGGTAATTTTGTTTAGTTTTGGGATAGCAGTAGGAACGATGGCATTTTTTTTCTCAGCCGCGATGCTATTCTCGATGTCAGAATACATCGCCTTTATCGAAAAATAAGCAGAGTCGGCTTGACGACGTACCGCATCGTGAGTGTCAAACTCATCGTCATCGATGTAGCCGATAATTTGATTATGTATAGTTTTGAACTCAGTGTACGACTCATCACACTCAATGGAGCGCGCAATAAAGGTAGATTGTTGTTCGGGGTGGTCTTTTAAGCTACGACCAACTCCCATGGACTCAATTAGTCGGTTCAAATGAATCGTACGCCGCAAAATAAGTTTCGCTAATTTATCAGCGGCAGCCATGGTAATTAATAAAAGTTTTATTTGATTTTAGATGAATGAATTGAATCACCCTGTATAACAGTATGCGAAAGGTAAAAAAATCGAAAATTCAGCGATTGTAAATTTTGGCAAACCAGATGTGGAACGAGCGAAAAAAGTCGTAAGCGGGCCGGTCCCGAAACTGGAAACGGACAATACCACGGCGATAATGGCGAAAGGGAAAGAATAAATTTATTATGAAAACAACAGCAAATTTAAGAAGCCGGTTCGAAGGACCAAACTTGTTCGCACCAAAACGTAAAATAGGTGAACTAATAAAGAGGTGCTGGTAACAGCGAAAAAATAAAACCAGAAGGAAATTTGAATTAAAATAAAAAATTAAATTGTATTTAAAAATAAATTATAAAAAAAAAATAAAATAATATTAAATGTATAAATCAAAGTTAAGAGAGAAAGGTGACAAGCGAATTAGCGAAAATAAGAATATTAATAATTGGTTAACGTACCAAGCACGTAGCGAATAAAATCTGGCACCTGCGACTACACACAATTGCGGACAGCGAGCGAGAGTGATCTCGATCAACGATAGATCGAGACCTGCGATCGCGACAGCGGCCTCTTCCGCGTGAAGAGGGTTTTACAATTTACGCGGTCATTAGAAAAATATAATTGTCGCAGAGCGAACATACAGCATGTAGCTATATTTTCTAAAAGATATTATTCACTTTACCACAATGCTTAGATAATTTTACTAATGTTTTTAGTAGCATTATTGAAAGTTTTGAACTACTTTAACAAATTGTACTCGTTATTTTGACTACATAAATTAAATCAATTTTCTATATCGTGTAGCTATATCTTCTAAAGACATTATTCACTTTACCACTTAATATTCGATGTTTTTATCGCACTAATATGTAGTTCATTTGGCTAATTATATAGAGGAATTAAATAACATACAATGCATTTTAAGTTTATTATAATAATATATTTGAAATAAACGTTTTAAAGCAAAACTAAATGTTTACTTAAACCTGTAAGTACATAAAAATAAATTAATAATTATGAATGTACGGGTAATAATTAAACAATATACATAAAACATAAACAGTAACCAATACTTAAACAATAAATAAAAAACAATTTAAATTACTTTATATTGTATGCAGGTGACCCGTAATATACGGTATCTACTGGGACAGCTGTATATGTATAAAACTGCTTATTAAACAAATGGTGATTTTAATTTAACCGCTAATGAAAAATCATGTAACGTATTGTACGTCTATGTTGATTGGTGGAAATTTGATATCAGCGGAAGTAAAAATATATGTGACAACATTTTTTGGCTTATTTACAATAAAAGACAAAGTATGTTCATCCAGCTTTTTAACCCTCCGGTGGGCGCACCTGTCGGACTTACACGAATAGGCGCCTTGCGGCTTTTACACCGCAATTGAATATTTAGTCTTTTCATTGGTAACGTTTGTAAAATTTTGGTTCTATGAAAGAAATGAGCATTAATTTTGTTGCTTTATATTTAATTATATAAAATTGGTAATTGAACACTTTTGACAACCTTAACAATACTAATTAAATTAATATACTTTCATCAGCTTGTTTTCACTTCTAAAAATATTTTCAATAGAGTTTTTGATTTTTTTTTTCTTTTTGACCTGGTTTGAAAATTAATCTATTTCCATTTGCTGCTCACCATCGCACCTAATACATTTTGTATTTGTGACACTATGCTTCTTACAAACATTTAAACTGCAATTTTGACACACATTTTGTCCTATTGTTCTTATGCCTACCACAAATGTAACAAATTCCTGGTTTTGCTGGTTCTTGGGGCTGCTCTTCATTGTTTGCATACTTTTGCAAGAAAGCCGTAATATCTTCAGGAAGAGTTTTTAGTGATGCTCTTTGTTTCAAATGTTCTTCCATCAAATCAAGGGCAAGATGTTTCAAAAAATGGCGCCTTCTTTGTTCTGTCATTTCTGGGTTGTTAAATTTGAAAATAACATTGGCATTAATGCCAGCAATGTCGATATGTCTGTAAAATAGAACAAGTGGCCAACGTCTAGTTATTCTAGAAGTGGAGTAAACTGAGCACATCTGATCAACGGTGTCTATGCCTCCTTTAGTCGCATTATAATCCAAATTGATTATAGATTTCTTACTTTCCTGGTCTATATCAGGTGTACTATGCATCGTTGAAAGGAAAATCACAATCCTATTCTTCTTAGGCACCGTTGAAGACAAACAGAAGTCATGTTGGAAACCAAAAAGAGATGATTTGACATCTCTATTTTTGTTTTCCAAGAATTCTGGAGGAATTTCTTTTTTGTTCTTTTTCATAGTACCTAAAAATGTCAATCCTTTCTCCAGTAGTTTTTCTGCAAGGGGGTAGCTACTATAATAATTATCAGTGGTGAGGTTTCTTTTTGTTTTCTCTATAGGTTCAATTAGCCTTGTCACAATATCTTCAGGCTTATTTGATTTAACATAGGGTCCGGGCAATTGCTTTCCACAATAAACTTCAAAGTTTAGTGTGTAAAATGTCTTTGCGTCACAAAGAGCATACATTTTGAGTCCATACTTCGCAGGCTTGTTAGGAATATATTGTACAAACCCACAGCGACCTCTGAAAGGATGAAGCATTTCATCAATAGTCACAAACTCACTTACGTTGTAATAGGCAATGCAGTTGTTGACAAATTCTTGATGAAAATCTCGTATAGGAGCTAATTTGTCTGCTTCCTTCCTCTGATCCCGGGTATCTAAGTCGTCAAACCTAAGGGCACGAAGCAAAAAGCGGAAGCGCTTATAACTGAAGAGGGTTCGCAATATTGTCATTCCTGTTCCATCTGAATCCCAGAGCTCACAGCAGTTCGTGTGTCCTCCCTTTTTTACACCAATTAAGTACAGGGCACCTAAGAGAGCCTTTATCTCTGCTCTTGATGTGTCTCTGCAATCCCTAGGTCTTTCATATTGCACTTCAACCCTCTTTTTCTCAATATATCTGTTAGTATTTATCACAATATTATCGATCATTTCATACAAACAGTGAAAAGCATCTATTTCCCTTCTAGTATTTTTAGCAGCCATTTTAGGCCCTGGTAAAATTTTTATTATGTTTTTTGCCTTAGTTTTCGAAGAAGAGGCAGGCGGTTTACTCATCCAAATTGTTTCCCCATCTTTTCCAATGTAAAATTTGTAATCATCACTGTCTTGTCGCTCCCCTTCATCTCTAATCTCTGCATGAAAATTTTCTACTGACTGCTCAGATTCGCTGTCGTGGTTTTCTTCTTCAATAACTTCCTCTTCTGTATCTAATTCACTAATATCTGATTCATTTTCCTCTTCTTCTGATAAAACTTCTCTCAACACTCTCTCAATACCTTCAGGCTTCACTAAATTCCTCTTCCCGGAATGAGACCTAAAAATACCGAACACTTAGGAAATGTGATACTATTACTGTTTTGTAACATACATTTGTTGGACGGAGTCCATTGTCTAAAATGTTTTCACACAACTTTTCGGGAGTTGAATCTACTCTTGTCTTCAGGTGTGGTTAGCGCCCTGAACTAGTAATGCAAACTTTGTCGAACGAAATCAAGTTCGCAGGTTCTAATCCTGGTCACAGCAAAAACTACTAAAATAAAAATAAATAAAAAACTGTCCTTCTAACGTCAAAACACCTGAAGACGGGAGTAGATACAACGCCGAAAACCTTGTGTGAAAACACTACGTCAAACAAATTTAGGTTACAAATCAAACACCATTGTCACAAACCATTAGAACTACCCTATTATTATTAAATCAGCGTACTGAAATTCGATTGTTTAGAAGAGGATGCTTATACAATATTTAAGAACGTACAAAAACGTAAAATGTATGAACTTATGTAAAAAAAATAGATACTTACATCACAGGGCGCTCAGCGGCAAACACACCGCAAATACGTCACTCGCTTTTCAAATCTCAATACCAACTAAACTGTTATCAACAACCTTTGTACAAATATGACATGGGATGACATCTGTTACGAATAACGAATGCCTCTGTGGACACATTTATTTTAATAACGCTATCTGAGATACACAATGGAAACTAAAAGATGCGGCTAACTGCCGCAAACGCGCCCACCGGAGGGTTAATGTGGATTAAATTGGTTAAAAAGTAATATCTGTCATTTATAAAAATTATGAAGCGAATTGAATGTAGATTGAGGGAATCACTGTTATTATCATTGCAAATTGCAATCATATCTTGTTCTTTATATTTTATGCCATTCACGTTCAATTTGCAATAAGTTAACATATTGTCTAATTGAGTGTGATAAATATTAGTGTGTGTAAAATCCACGTGTCGAATTTCACTGCTCAAATGCTGGTAGTGTCCTTGTGGACTAGCCTGATTAATACTTTTGTGAGAATATAAGTAATTAGCAAAATTTAACTGCCATTTTATAGCTGACGTTAAAAGCACATTCCTTCGATTTGTGACGATGTGTAAGTATGCTTTAGTTTGTTTGTGTTTAGTTTTTTTGCCTCATTGTCCATAATCGCTTTAGAGGACCTAATTTTTTAATTACAAATGGATAATGAACAATGAAGTGGTGCTTAGGTGTGAGATCAGTGCGAAATACAGATATATATGTTTCATGATGCAATGTTATGATCTCACTAAGCTCGGAAAGTTGTTTTTCATTATACGATGGTAAAAGACATGCGTTAACTAACTTTATAAGCAATATGAAAACTTTCCAAGTAGGTTCGTCGTCCGGAACTAAATCTCCAATCATAAGAGGTAGATAGTGCAAGAATGCAAGCATTTCACTTGCTAACATTTTTAATTTTGAGTTCATTAAACATTTAGTCGTAATATTCACAGACATATTACTAGCATCCGAATAATGATACTGGATGTTGGGTATCAATAAAATATATGTTTAGTTTTATATTCTATGGTTGTAGCGGACGCGCTGCGAACTAAAAAATTGTGACGACTTATGAACACAAAAAAGAACAATACAGTCGATTAGCAATTTAATAAATAACGCAGGTCCTCGGCCGGCCCTGTGAAGACGGGTAGGGTTATTTATAATAAATGACCAAAACAAGTACGCAAAAAGAAAATTATAAATTTGAATTGAATTACGCGTACGACCCGTACCCCTGATATCAGTGTGGCGTCGAGAAAGAAAATAAAAACTAATTCGTGAAACAAAAAAAAACGTACGCCAAAATTTTACAAAAAAAATAAAAATTATTTTGTTTGATTTAACTGACAACAAAATACTGAATATTTTCAATCTATGATAAATTTTTTTTTTTATGATATATAAAATATATTTAATTTATTTGATTTATGAATTAATTAATTTAATTTAAATTGTACTAAATTGAACAAAAGTTCACCGGGAAGCGGTATATAAAAAACAAACGTTTAGGTCTGACCTTGTCTTGACCACGTGTAGACGATCCAAGCAAATTCTTCCAGCTCCAGCGACAATCTCCTCCGATTCAGGGAAAGGAAAACTTAATAGGTGGTGGCAATGCAACCTCGACCAAAATCCTCAGGGAAGAACCTCTCCGAAAAGGTAGAACTTCGAAAATGGATTGAAAATCTCACAAAATAACCAAACTTCTGTCTCGAAAATGTTACAGAAAGGTTGCCAAAAATTTACGCTCTTCCATTAAAACCTTAAATGAACACGAGGAAATTAGAAAAGGAAAAAAAAAATATATAAAAAAAAGTAGAAAGGATGGAAAAATAAGATATAAAAAAAATGATGGTAATAATTTAATTAATTTGGTGGTAAAAGGATGTATGTTTGAATAAATGAAGGTATGGATGTGTAAGGGAAAATATAAAATGTATTTAATAAAAATATCTTACCTCAGATCATCGAGGTTTAGTCAGAAAAACTTAGAAAAGTTTCAAAATACGGTTTAATCCGGAACAATCCGATAATTGGACGTGCAAAAACGTTACCAATAAATTACATAACACGTAGATGAATCCCAAAAATTTGGATTAGGAACCAATCACCACGCGAAAAATTCAAAATGGCTTTACCAAAAATCCTAATTCTACGGGCGTACACGTACTGATCTGACTTGAAAAGAGGAAGAGAAAATCTTACACAGACGATAAATATCCTCAAAAATTCACAAAAAATAGATACTTGCGCACAAGCAAGAATAACGAAACAATTAACACCATCTTTTAGGGGAAACGAAGAAGTAAAATAAGTTTAGGGGAAAATAAATTGAAAAGGAAAAAGGAAAATCATGAAAGGAGATCTTCGGAGAATTGTCGCTGAAAAAGAAACATTAATTAAACAAAAATTCAACAAAATAAACAAAAAGTAAACAAAATAAATCATCGCGAAATTTATGCAACTCAAAATACTCGATAACAAAATAAAATATCTAACCCAAAATAAAATTAAAACGAAGAATTAGGAAAGTAAAGGTTAAACACTCAAATAAAACATTAAGGAAAAATACAACCGTAACTTCAAGAAAGTTTACCCAGTAAACTTTTATCAACCTAGGAGCTAACTAGTTCCTCCTCATTAATCAAACTACAAACGGCTGTCTCCAAATTAGGGATAAAGAGAGGAAATCAAAACAAACAACCCAACCCCCAAATATAACAACAAGATTTCGGAACCATCCACCTGGTCCACCACTTGCCCAAAGCCACCAGGTCTTCGGCAAATCAGCCGGAAGGATAAGAATAAAAATAATAAGAAAAAAATAATAAACAAAAGATTAGGGAGATTAATGTGGATTTGGCTACGTACGCGCAACGGCTACTCAAATCTCTTGCGTCCATAAACAAAAAAAAAATGGAAATCATAAGATAGTATAAAAAGAGAAGATTAGAAAAAGAACAATTAACAGGCCTACCCGGATTTACAATTGACCGCAGTCTTCAAGACCGGTAAAGGCGAAGAGATACCTAGAGAAGGTAGAAATGAAAAAGAAAATTATACAAAACAATACGGCTTACAAGAGATCGAGCCACGGTCACACAACGCTCCAAACCACACACCGCAAACCAAAATCCGTAAAACAGAACTCTTCGTGAAGCGAAGATATTCCAAAAACAAAAAAAAACGACTCTAAAAGGACAACAAAAAAGGTTTATTACTACAATTAAGGATACAAAGTGGAAAAGGATTGGGAAAACAAAGAAGGGTTGATGGTCCGAACCCACCCCTTACAAAAATAAAGCACCCCCACAATAGTAAACATAAATCCACCAAGTGGATTAACCAATGACAAACTACCAAATCAGAAAACGAGGATAAAGATGGATAAGGAAACCAAACTGTACTCGTAAGTACCAAAAATTGAAGGCTACAAGGTATATCTTACTATCTTTCATTACAGCTGATACAGATCGTGCTGACGTTGGCACAAGCCAATATCATGGAAGGAAGTTGGATTTGGGATGGCTGCTAAAGACTTACCCTTATTTAAAAAAAATATTTCATGCGGATAAAAATAGAACCGTACACATGTTTCGTGCACAATCTGCCACGAATATAAAGATGAAGCTTCCAGAATAGCCAGAAATGGGACTGTTCCGATTTGCCTCAGGAGTTCGAGCAGATGGTGTGCAAAGGCTACAGCAGATTATTGATCGTATGGATTCCAACGTCCACGCCGCTGCCGTGAATGCGAAGAAGGCGGCGGAATTATGGAAGCAGCAATCCGACAAACACCCTTGGGTTAAAACTTTAAAAAAGCATAGAGCAATGGTTGTCCACGATTTAATTGGCTTATGCATTGATGTTTACAACGATTCTTTGCTTGAAACGCCCACTGCTCGTACTTGGCCAGCTCGTTCATTGGCAGCAATGCGCGCTAAATAATAATGCATTTAATAATAATGCATTTATTTTCCAGAAAGAGAATAAAAAAAACAAAGAAAAAAATTAAATCAATACATTCACAAAACTAATCTTAATTTACTAAAAAATTAATTTAAACTAATTTACTTAAAACTAAACTTAATTTCCATCACAAAACATTCTTTCGGGAAAAATGGCGCAATTCGGTAGAAAACCGCTTTTCAATTACGCCAAAAAAAAAAACAGGACAACAAAAAGAAAAACAGCAGCGCTCAAAAACTCAACACATAAACTTGCACACACTTGAACACTAACCAAATAATAAACAAATGAAGAGAAAAAAAAATATAACATGTCGTACTCGTCATCGACAAGATAAAATCAATACAATCCCAGCTGAATGATTCGAATGACTGGGAAATTCAGCTGGATGAGTTTCAGCCCCGTGGTTCTGCACTTCAATACAGGGATGACGTCGTTTATACTGAAATGCTTCACGTTATTGGAGATACAGAGAAGAAGAAACTTCGTGACGAGTTTAAATCGGCTCTTTGCATATCTCTTCAGATTGATGGAAGTGTAGATCGTGGTAATCAAGACATGAAGTATGTTGTTGCTAAGTATGTTACCAAGGATCAACCTACAGTACTCCGCAGTTGTTTCATATGAGTTAGTCAGCCAGAATCGAAAGGAGCCAAAGAATTGCTCGAGGCGACGGTCAACACTTGTGAAAAATCTTTTGTTCCAACCGAATTATTAGTTGGCGTCACAACTGATGGAGAAGCTGACAATACTGGAAGAGAAAGTGGCTAGTTTGGAAATTGCTAGAGGACTATCTAGGACATAAACTACTAACTGTATGGTGTTACTGTCATCGATCTGACCTAGCAATGGAATCGGCCTTAGAATTGGTTCCTGAACTAAAAAATGTGGATGAGTAATGTAACAGGAACAATGTAACTTGACCTTAAAAAGAGATGCAAAGCCTTTAAGACTGATCATAAATGTAAATTCTAATTTCTTAATTCTAATTGCTATTTACTTTTAGAATTAAATTTCCAGTTCTAATTACATTTTCTTTATTCAGGAAGCACACATTGTAACTAGTGAATCGCTTAGACAGCCTGAACTGGAGCAAGATAATTTAACGGATTCTGTCATAGTAAGTTTTACTTTTATTTTCACTTTATCAGTAACATTGATAGGATACCATATTATGCTGAGAGCTGTCAGAAACAAATATTAATTAATTTCTGTGCTGGTTATTGTTATTTTTAATACATTATCACTTTTTACTCAAGAAGGTTTTTTTACTTTGTAATGTATGTGGGTATTTAATACTAATAATAATATATGTTTATTGATGATGCAACAAAAGTGCAACAAACCAAAAAAATATATATATAAGTAATTAAAATTATGAACACTGAAAAATTATCAACAAAAACGATTTGTGTATAACACTTTGTATGTTTATAGGAGTTAAATATAACAAAAGACGCTGCCATACCTTCCTCCGCTACAAATCCAACAACAGAGTCAGTATTTAAGAAGAGCCAGTCTAATGCAACAATCAAAGAAAAATCATTGCGACGAATTTTAAAGAACAAAGAGAAACAGATCCGGAGACTTAAAAAGAATTATGAAAATAAAACCACATTACTGAGAGATATGTTCAGCACACCAGAATCTTTTACTCAGGTTTTTAAAGGTAGTAATATTTACTTTCCAATTATTTAATCACGAATTGAGGCAACATGTTTATGTCTTAGTTGTGATCATAGTTAAAGCAATGCAATCATGATTATGATAAATGACGAACTAAGAACTTAAAATTATGACTAAGACTAATACATGTTACATGAATCTGACATAATACAAGCTGAGTTAAGTAAATGTGGTGTCAAATTTTAAACACAACATATTTAAACAAAATGCAAGCAATTTTTCCACTGTAATTGTTTGTACAGATAAGAAAATTTCCTTCAGAATGCAGGTCAGGACGCTTCAGCTTTCAGACGTTGCTGCTTACTTAAATAAATAGTTTGTTATTTTTTATCAGTTGTCTTTTATAACTCATACTCTGCCAACATTTACATTTAAATTTTTTTCATGTTTAATTAAAATTTGATTAAATCCAATTTTTGCTAATAAATTAAACAATTAAATTTTATTCATCTTTAATTTGCATTGCTATTTAATGGCATTAAGTGAATTAATCTATATATATCGTTATAAAATAACGAAAATAATTTTTGTTTCAAAAATTATAAGCGATCGTGAAAATTTTTTCAAGTAAAAGTTATGTGAAATTATACTGTCAACCCAACTGTAGAAAAAAAATTATAGATTTAAAAAAATAGCGAAATTAGTACTCACATCCGGTATAACCGGAACTACAAAAAGAATGATTTCATGTTGTAATAATCCGTTTTAACGATCTAACTATTCATTCCAAATGGTTTTCTTATATCACCAATAATAAAGAAAAATATGGGGGTGAGCCACTTTTGAGGGACACCCGGTATAAGAAGAGCCCTAAGTGTTACAAATTTCTACAACGCTTGTTTGTACTCCCATCACAACGTCCACTTATGTCACTATTGGATAAAATTCCATTCAACGTTGGAATTAACGACCACATTTTTGCACATTTGGGTGCTTGCTTAGCAAAATTACCAGAAAATGAAAGGCTTTGCTCATTGGTTTTTGATGAAATGGCTCTTAAAGAACATTTGCAATACAATAGCAAAACGGATTCTCTAGAAGGAGTTGAAGATTATGGCAGCGAAAGAAGTGAAAATGTAGTATTATTGTATTTATGGCTCAGGGGATAATTAAACCATGGAAACAACCACTGACCTTTTATTTCAGTCAAGGGCGCGATAATTCGAGCAGACTAAAAGTTTTATTGAAAGAAGTAATATTTAATATGTTTAAACATAAAATCCCCATTATGGCTACAATATGCGACCTGAGAACTGCAAATGTAAGAGCTCTTAAAGACCTAGGATCAACAATTTCGACTCCATTTTTTATTTATGAAGGGAGGACTATTCACAATATCTTTGATGTACCCCATTTATTAAAAAGCACACGAAATTTATTCAAAAAGTACAATATACAGTTACCATCATCAGAAGTACTGCCCTCAATGTCATCAGATGCAGAAAGTTTGCAAGCTAGATGGTCTGATATCCAAAAAGCGTATGAAGTAGACACTCATACACCTCTAGTTTTTCGAAGTCTTTACAAATTAAAGGATTATTACTTTTCACCTTTACAGCACAATGCTATGAAAGTTAAAATTGCAGCACAGACACTCAGCAGAAGCAGTTCAGTATATATTTACCAGTTATAATAAAATAATAAAATAAATTCACGACTCGGCTTCGGTTACAACTGGTTAGAACCCGGGATTCCCCTCATGCCTCTATGTGCGATGTGGAGTGTGAGTCTCATTTGTTCATTTCGCTTTTCTACCTTCCGTGCGTTGGTTGATCTCGTCGGGTGTTTGTTGTTCGTGTTTTTCAGTAATTTATTTTCTTTCCATTACGACCAGTCTTTTTAAAGCCTTTTTAAGAATTTGTTTAATTTTACGCAAGGTAACTAGATTTTATACTGTTTTATAAACTGTAATTATTTAAAATATAAAATAATTTGTTTAGAATTATGTTGTTTAGTTTGCTTATTTATTTTGTGTAGATTGTTTCTTACAGTTTTTTTTTTTGATATTTAGTATTTTTTTGTTTGGTTTTATATCCATGAAAATGTTTTAGCGTAAATTTTAGAAGTTTGTGTTGTGTATGAAACCTGTAAGTATTTTGTAGTACTAGTAGCTATTAGGTAGGTACGTGCATAATATACAATCGCGAGCAATAAGTTTTACTCATCAACGTCGTCATTATAAGAATACAATTACAATGAAAAAATGTTAATGGTAAACTTTGTCGAGAAATTGTTAAGTTTCCAATACGAACACGCAAAAAAATGTACGTTTGGAAAACTTACCATGGTAAAAAAATTTCGAAGGGGACTAATGGACAAAGTGTTATTAGTTTGTGAGTTTTGCAACACCTGGTTTGTTTGTAGTACACAAAATCTCCAATCGATGTCATTGAATATGGCTGCTGTGTGGGGTACCGTTGTTGATGGGAGCACCTATACACAGACAAATGATTTATTGTCCACACTAGATGTTCCCATAATGAGCTTTTCGACATTTTCAAAAATCGAGCGGCAGTTGGAAACTACTTGGCAAGACCAAGTATGGTTATTTATGGAGACGGCAGAAAAGGAGGAACGTCGCCTAGCAGAGGATTCGGGTGACACTGACAAAGGTGGGAACAAGTGTATGTTGATGGCGGCTGGAGTAAGCGCTCGTATGGCCATAACTATAATGCTGCATCTGGGGTGGTATGTTTCAACAAGAGGATGTAACTAACCAAAATTAGTTTATATTATTTGCAGGCAGTTATTATTGGAATGCGAACGGGGAAAGTGATATTTGTTGGTGTACGCAACAAGTTTTGCACCGTTTGTTGCGGTGCGGAAAATAAAAACGTGGTTGTTCCAAAGCACGTATGTTTTAAAAAGTGGACAGGGTCGTCGTTGGCAATTGAAGCCGACATAGTTGTAGAAGGTTTTAACCAAAGTATTGCTATGCGCGGGGTTAAATACCTTAAATTTATTTCTGATGGAGACTCAAGTGTTTTCTATCGCATTCAACAAACGGTGTCTTACGAAGGGCAGGTGGAAAATTAGAATGCGTTAATCATGCTATAAAGAATTACGGCAAATCTTTGTACAAGATCAAAGCAGATACATCGATAAACATGCAAGGCAGAAAATACCTAACAAAGCCAATAATAACGGAATTGCAAAAGGGTGCGTACAAAGCCATAAAGAAATATTCGGACGACGTAAATAAAATGAAAGCGGAGATCAGCAATTCAATTATGCATGTTTTCGAACATCATGAAAACTGTTGTGATGATTATTGCTATAAAAAAGGAGTTGTTGAGCTATGTCCAATTCCGCACCTGAAGCGCACTGGTTTGTTGTACCACATAAACGGTATGTGCAATATAATTATAAACTTTTAATTTATTACAACTGTATATTATGTGTACTGAAAAACAGGAGCACTTGAAAACTTATTGGTAAAAGCGCATCGACTAGTGGCGAAAGAAACAAACAATAGAGCCGAGTTATATATGTCATTGTTGGCAAAACTGAATTGTGGAAAACGTTTGAATTTGACGCAATGAAATTCTTTCCAAAACAGAGCATATATAACCGGCTTGCGTTACAATGAAGGTAAGTATGCAGTAAAGATCTTTAGATACTCTATAAATATAATTATCATGGACAGGTGTATCATGGCAACAACGGGGATTACAAGGATTACAAGCATCTGGATATGTGTCAATTAGCAATTATTTCATGAGACATATGCATAAAATGCAACGAAAACAGGAGACTTGACATGTTCTCCACGGAAGCGAAAGCATCGTGAAATAGTTGCATCAAGAAACTATGATTTTGGAGCATCTGCTATTCAGGGAACATTATCCACTGCAGAAATATAATCTGAATCGAAAAGAATTTTACTTTCATTACAGGTTTTTTGATCCACTATAACCTCACCCTTAGGACTGGTTTCTAGAACAAAAGTTAAAGTTAACGAATCGCTATCTCTAGTGTTGTCCTTGTTTTTCACACATGGTAAACAAGAACAGCGCAGATACATCCAAAATATCGGAACGACTACTTTGTAGAAATCGAGCATAAAAGTATCTTTCTATTTTACAATCGCGAGGTGTATCTGAATGACTGCAACAAACTTCAAGGGGTGATTCTTTAGTGAATTTTAAGGGTACTTTGATATATGAACCATGGGCGACTTCGGCTCCCTAAGGAGCTACACCCCTCCAAAAATGGCGGAAAATTTTGGTTTAATCTTTTTTTCTCAAAAACCATAAACGCTAGGAAAATGAAATTTGGGGAATATGTTTAACTCATAATAGGGCACGTTTTTACCCTATTTGTACTTTCAACCTACCCTTCTAAACTATTAAACGTAACCACCCCCTTTAATTTTTGCTAAAATTTTTTTTATGCAGATGATAAATACATTAGAAAAATTTTACATAGGTAGATGAAAGTATCCTAAAACTTTTTGTCTCTCTAAAATTTTTCCAAAAACGACTAATTTTTGAGAAAAAAAAAATAATAAAGCTAACACTGCCCGTTAAACAACGGGGTTGTCGATCAAAAGTTGGAATGAATTTTTAATGAAAAAATCTCGTAGGCTTTGCAATCTTTGTCAGAAATATTTTTGACGTTTAAATGTCAGTGTTTTTCTTACTATTATTATTGTTTTTCAAATTAATTTTTAAATAAAGTTCTATCGCATTTACGCTCGTTCACTCGAGTTATCAAAATTTTAAATAAAACAATAATAATAGTAAGAAAAACTGATGTTTAAACGTCAAAAATATTCGTATTCTGACAAAGATTGTGTAAACTTGCATAATATGCATTCTTGGTTCGAGCAAAACCTACATTGCTTTATCTAAATTATTTTATTATTGGGTAGACTAAACGACCTGACTTTTAAAGAAAAACCAATAACCAGGGAAAATATGACAAAACATTAAATATGATAAGGTTATTGGGTGTAGCGATCGGTATACAAAAAAAAGAGAACTAACAAATGGCTAAAAAACAAGATTACTTCACATAGGAGTGATTTTAAAACGAAAAAAACTCACTGTGCTTTGGCCAGTCATATGATAAACTGCAACCATACTTTTGATTTTGATAATGTGTCGATAGTTGATGGTGATCCTAATTATTACGGTAGATTATTTTTGGAAATGTAAAACATTAATATCACTGATACAAATAATTTAAGTATTTTTTACTCGTATTTATTTCATTGGGAAAAAGGGAGAAGGAAAAGAGTATTGAGTGACAACACCAACGTTAGTGATTCATTAATTTTTTAAATAAAAATTATAAAAATAAAATATAAAATATGTTTTTCGACAGTATCGTTGTGATTTTGTCTATCGCGCAGTCTCAAAAAATAAAAATATTTTTAAGAACTGGTTTCTTCGCCATGTTCAGTCATCATAACATTTTTACTTTTGTAACGTCAGTTATTTTAGTTTGTATTGTAAGTGTCCTAATTTTAATTTATTAATTCGAGCCACCCTTTTTGGGTTTTAATGATGCTATGTTTCTTGGTGGACCGTTGAAATGTTCCGCAATCGTGCCGCTTATCAACTAACCTGTAAGTTTCTTCCTTTCTATGTAAGCCATTAATAGTTTGAGTGTTAATTTTGATACATTTGTTCACAGTTTTTTGCCTCTAGAAGAAACAATTAGTTTCGACATATAGCAAAGAAAAATTTAGTTCTCTTTTTTTCGTATACCGATCGCTACACCCAATAACCTTATCATATTTGTCAATTTTTGCGATCAAAAAACTCCATCTAACTTATTCCATAAAACATTAAATGCCAGTAGAAACGTGTCCAGGGCCGAGACCTAAACAGTGTTTTTTTTTTCGTCGAAACTAGATGAAATAAATGCATCGAGGTTTATAGAAGGCATTTCGAACATTAGTGAGCTATTTTTACCAAAAATTTAAGTTATTCTAAGTGTTATGGTTTATTTTGTTTTATTATCATTGTTGATGTTTCATTGATCCGTTGGTTTTTAAACACGCCTCAAAAGTAGTTTTGATGCAGTTCAAAGCTTGGATAGAGTGTAAAGGAAGGGTCTAGGTAATAACATTTTTGTGCTCTCTTATTTGTTAACTAAGGTAACTTGATCCGATTAAGATATACGAATTTTTAACATTTTCTTCTATAATTCGAGAATGGATGGAGATATCGAGATGCGGTTTTCACTAATATTTACCAAATTTTATGGTGATTAAGGGTTTATGAAGTAAATAGTATCATTCCATTTAACTTTCTTTCAAAAATCACAAAAATATGTAACTGCTGCACATAACGCCCTCTAGTTTATTTGTTTTAAACCAAGCGGTCTTACTGAAAATATCTTTTAAAAGAGCATAAAATGCTATAAATATTGCAAAACAAAACCGATGCGGTATTATCCAAGCTACTTCTGAGATAGCGGGAATTTTATGTTTCTCTATGGCAGTTACAACCCCTAGCGGTCGAAGTACGAACTTCAAAATAATTTACAGCTATTTCTGTAAACTGTTGCCCACTTTGCTTATAAGGATTTTTTTCCCAAACCTATAGGCCTTACCGTTGTCAAGATACAGCCGCACCGTACCCTTAACGGGACACCTGTACATGAAATTTATATATTATAAGTAACAAAAGATCAACGTGACCAAATAGCGAATATCAGTACGGAGCAATATAATTCGCAAATGTATGTAAATGAAAAAAGTAAACGGTTAACAGCATCAAATGTGTTAATGTTTGTTAAATCGTTCACTTTCATGCCGAAAATTTAGAAGCCCAGCAATGTCATACGGTACTGAAAAAGAATCAGTGGCACGTAGTCGTTTTGAAAGTGAATACGATTTAGTTGTTTCTCCTGCTGGTTTGTTTATATATTTCGAATATGGATTTCTTGGAACTTCTCCTGATGGTCAATTACATAGACCTCCAGTAACTGTTTAATGTAACTTAAGCGGCCCATACACGACCATTGCTCTAGCGGCAACGCCACAAGAGTCGTCGCATGCGGCGGCGGTTAGCAGCCCATACACGATGACTCTTGCGGCGGTGCCCCCAGAACCGCTGCAAGAGTCGTCGCATGCGGCCGCACTTCTTAAAAGGTTAACCGTTTTACGGTCCAAAATACTTTAAAATGTCTGACGTGACGTTACGTAATCAGATACCGATACCGGTGCTGTTGTCAGTTGAGTTAGCAATTAGATTAAAAACTAAAAATAAAGTTAAACGAATATGGTGCAAGAGATGGTTAAAAGATAAGAAGAAATTCGGCATCGCAAATTTGCTGCGAGAGCTACAAGAAACGGAGCCTACTGATTATAAAAATTTTCTTCGAATGAGTTCTGAACAATTTTAAAAACTTTTAACACTGGTAAGCCCACTACTTGAGAAGAAGGATACGGTAATGAGAGCTGCAGTGACTGCTGAAGTTAGATTAGCTGTGACACTCAGATATCTGGCTACAGGAAATAGTTTAGAAGATTTGAAATTTTCAACGATAATTTCGCCCCAGCCAATTTTGCCATTTACAAAGTACTTCAGAAAACATACATGAAGGTAAATAGTATACCTCTATATATTATCAGTGGGCCAAAAATCACTTTCCATTTTTTAACTTTGAAAATATTTTTTTAATTGAAATTGAGTGTCATGGAAAACATGATTTATGAAATAGATTGTAATTTTTTGAATACCTGATATTTATTAATTAATGCCATTGAGGTTTTTTTAGTTTATTTATTTTTAACGTAACCTAACTAATCTAGTTCAAAAAAAATACATACATTAGTTTACATGTTTATTGTAATTAAATGTTAATAGTTCCTGACTAGTATTTGAGGTAGCCCTGTCTAAATCAGTAAATTGTGTATGTGGTGACATTGTATGATGTGGTGGCATTGTATGATGTGGTGGCATTGCATGCATATTGAATCGCCATTCTGTGTTGTATTGTCCTGAATTAGATGATCCTGTTGTAACTGACGCAGTTTCTGTTAACTTTCCTAGTTTTGCATAATACATAGCATCACTTACTAGTTTTTCAAGGATTACTCCTTGATTAGTTTCTAAAGTTTTAAGATCAGCAGCGTATTTTTTCCAGCTATATCGAAATCGTTTTCAATAACTTCATTGGAAGAACAAAATTTTTTTAATGCTTCATTGGCTAAGCCAATCAATTCATTCTCAGATTTTTTTTTATTTTGCTCTTTTTGATGGGTTCTACTTCAAGGGAACTCGTAGACAAAGGTGTCTGCGGAGTTCTAATATTTAATATAGGACTACTTCTTACAGAGTGTATTGTCTCCTCGTCGTCAGGTAGTGACGAGATTGTGGGAGATGAAGCTTTCCCACTCCTTCCCAATCTTATGAAACCATATCCCCGAAAAAAACTTAATCCCGATGAACGCATTTTTAACTACAGACTATCTCGTGCACGCCGTATTGTGGAAAATGCGTTTGGGATAATATCGTCCCGTTTTGGTGTTTTTAAAACAAATATATCTCTTTCTGTTGATAAAGTGGATTGTATAGTTTTGGCTTGTTGTCTTTGCACAATTTTCTTCGGGATGAAAGCAAACACTACATACCACCCAGGTATGCCGATGAAGAAGATGTTGAGGTAGGTGAACTTAGGCTCGGCCAATGGAGGGAAGAACGACAATTAACAGCTTTA